AACAACCCTCTACCAAGAAGTACAAATTCTGCCTATCAAGATGGCCATCACTTAAGTAATCTTACACAAATTCCTCAAAAGCTGACAGAAAGCAAGCATAAACTGGTGTTTCAGTTTGAAGAATTTTAAAGCAAGCCAAGTAATTGTATAAAATTTAAATTTTATGACCATGTTTGGACCTTTTTACATTTAACACAATGGAAATATTCATTTTTTTCCCCAAAGGAAATACTGAATCATCACTATGTTGCACAGTAGAATAAAAATATGAGTTCAGCTGCTTATTCAAGTTTCTAAAGAATGCATATAACAGACATGATATTACTTCCAAAATCTGACTTCATCAACATGATTTCGTAGTATCTCAGACTTTACCTAAAAATTCAGTATCATTCAGATAAAGAAAGCCCCTCTAATCACATGTTTTAAAAAGCTTCTGCCCCACCACAACTTCCTGAGAACTGTGAAGGAACTGCAGTCTTGCGATCAGACTCCAGATGGTATAGGCAGTTTTGTAATCAGTATGGAAAAAATGGTGACTGATATCATGTGTCAATCAGTTGTAGTCTGCTTATCTGATTAGAAGCCTTGACAAATGCCTGGTGACGATTGCAAATAACTGCCAGGCATATCGGGATGATACAGTAGCCCACCGTTTTGGGGTCAGCTCTTGTACAAGAATAAAGGAACAAAAACATCTGTAAGTAAGGTACCAGAAAAATAACCGTCCACAACCAAAAAGGCAGGGAGAGCAACCGAACTTTCAAGGAGTGTGTCCATGTAGTTCCTTCAAGTGGCTCCTCAGGGTGCTGTTGAATGTGTTCCAAGGCCAGCCTGTTGTAAGTCTCATTGATCTCAAACACATAGTAAAACGCTGCTGCGCTCGCTAACAGATACAATCCCACTCCAATCCAGCCCATCCGCTGACGGAAGTTCATCATTCTCCATGCTCTGTGCCTTCAAATTGGAAAACAAACAGTTAGGGTCTAGTAATGCTGTCCCAACAGCTATTCCAAATGTACTGGCTTTCTTTCCGACGAATTTTTTTCTTCCCCCTCCAACTGGGTTTCAAAATACAAAACTGCCACATTTAAGGTCTAAAGAAAATTAAATTTACATTTATTAAGAAATGTAGGCAACTTCCAGGATATGTTACTAACAGTCACGAGCAAGCAAAGGTCACTGGCTTCTGTACACACTGAGTTCTGCTTTTTATGTGCATCCCACAGAAAGAATCACTACGTTTTGCTTCAGCAGGTCCAGTACAGGTCCTGAAGAAGCTGGAGTTCAATTCGCTACAGAATATTTCACTCTTACAATTCAAATACTTTCTGGCTTAGAAGTATTCCTTTAGACGTGAAAACTTGGTTTTCACAAGTCAAACCAACGCCGGAGCCCTCAAGTTAAAACAGTCACTCTTCAACACTTACAATGGTCCTGAAAATCTTCCTGTTCCCACGGCAAGCGTTAAAGAGTCACTCAGTTCTGAATAATCAGGAGGCTTTGGCATTTCAGAGAAAGCCACCATAAAAAAAAAAAATCCCATGGGTCACCGGGCTCGGAGAAAGGTAAGCGTGGCCATCCTGGAGAACAAGCTAATTGTGATTAAGTCCAACGTGACTGGAGCCGGTCACGCGGCGGACCGCCCCCTGTCACCGCAGCCGGAGCCCAGTCTGTATCATCCGGCCCGGCCGGTAGGCGCCGGTGCCCCCAGGGCCTCCCCGACAGCCGGCCCCGCCCCCTGCCGCGCTGCAGCTACAGCCAACTGCGACCAGGGCGGCGCCTAGCCGGGGCCTCACCGCCCGCAACGCCTGGAGATCCGCGCCGAGCAGGGGCCACCAGCAGAGCAAGCAAAACGGGGCAGGTCCAGGATCTCACCTTCCTGTCCCGGGTGGCCCACCCGCCCGCCGTCCCGGATGCTGTCGCAGTCGGGGCTTCCGGCTCGGGCCGGAAGTGCGCGCGCCCCGCCCCGAAAGACCCGCCCCCTTGTGACGTCAGAGCGCCTCAGACTGCGGCGCTGCTGCTCTGAGTCTTTCGGGGCAGCAGGCAACTGCTGAGGTGCCGCCGGTGGTGGGCCCCCCCCTTTCAGGTGGGCGGCCGTGCTTGCCTCGCTCGCAGCTCTGATCGCACTATCAGTCTTATTTACAGAGCACTGCAGAAACTAGGCGGTCCTGTTTCACTCGCCGTCTCTTGGCGCGCTTGCCTTCAGAGCCTCGCTATCCCTGTGGAGTGTCCATCTGAGCCGAGGACAGGCAGCCGTGCCGCTCCTCAGGCCTGAACGAGTGGGGAACCGGCCGAGCCCGGGCAGGTGGACGCAGGCGTCGACCAATAGATAACGGTGAGGGGGAAGCGGGCCCTGGGAGCGGCTCCGCGGGCCCCGGCGTCCGCAGGGGGCGCCCGAGGCGGGGAGACGCAGTCACGAGACTGCTGCCGCAGAGCGTCCCGGCCTCCCGGCGTCGCCCGGAGGTGGAGAGCCCGCTGGGCTTCTTGGTTCGTCCATTGCGTTGTACGGCACTGACCCCTCTAACTAACCCGACTGCTTTGTCCTCACAGGCTGCTGGGACTCGGTGTGACGTAGCTGGGGGACCGCGGAGGATTACTGTGAATCGCAGTGAATCTAAACGGACAAATTAGAATCTTTTCTTTGGGGCATCATGACGCAGAGGCTCTTAGAAGACTGGTGCCGGGGGATGGACATGAACCCGCGGAAAGCTCTGTTGATTGCCGGCATCCCCGTGTCCTGTAACGAGGCGGAAATCCAGGAGGCTCTGCAGGCGGGGTTAGCGTCCCTGGGACAGTACCGACTGCTGGGGAGGATGTTCAGAAGGGACGAGAACAAGATTGTGGCCCTGATAGGACTTAGTGAAGAGACTAGCCTGGCTGTGGTCCCTAAGGAGATACCGGGGAGAGGGGGAGCCTGGCGAGTGATCTTTAAGCCCCCTGACCCAGATAATGAATTTTTAAACAGATTAAATGAATTCTTGGAAGGAGAGGGCCTGACAGTGGCGGAGTTTACCAGCGCCCTTGGGTATGGGAACGACCCTTTTGACCTAGACCAGAGCTTAGTCCCACAAGTGGGGGCCCCTATGTTGGCTGAGGCGTTAGACGAGGCCCTTCAGCCTGCCCTGCAATACCTGAGATACAGGAAGCTGAGAATCTTCTCTGGCAGTGACCCGCCAGAGCCGGGAGAAGAAGGATTTGATTCCTGGCTGTTTCACACCACCCAAATGATGAAGACATGGCAGGTGGCAGATGCAGAAAAACGAAGGCGATTGCTCGAATGCCTTCGAGGACCGGCACTTGATGTCATTCGGGTCCTCAAGATAAACAATCCTTTAATTACGGTCCCCGAATGCCTGCAAGCACTTGAGCAGGTATTTGGGGTTATCGATAATCCAAGGGAGTTGCAGGTCAAATTTCTAACCACTTACCAGAAGGCTGAGGAAAAGTTGTCTGCTTACGTGCTAAGGCTGGAGCCTTTATTACAGAAACTGGTAGAGAGGGGGGCAATTGAGAAAGAAGTTGTGAATCAGGCTCGCCTAGACCAAATCCTTGCTGGGGCGGAGGACAGAACACTGCGGAGGAAGCTTGATCTGCCAGAGGCCGGCCCAGCACCTGGCTTACTGCAGTTACTGACACTGATAAAGGAAGAAGAGGCAGCCGAGGATGAGGAGGACGCCCTTCTGCAGGCAGGATTAGAGGGAAATTTCACCTGAATCTTAGGAAACAAGGAAGGGGATATGGCTGTGAGCAGAGCATGAAGGTACAACAGTCCATCCCATCCACTCCAGTGATAGACCTTAACTGGCTCCCTGCCTTGTTCTGCCAAGTAACTCATGTTTGCACAGTGCTCAGTATAAGCCCTTTGTCATTTCTGAGCTGATGTGGTGGTGTGCCATCAAGTCAGTTCCAACTCATAGTGACCCCATGTACAATGGAATGGAACTGCCTGCTCCTATACCATCCTCACAATTCTTGCTATGCATGAGCCCATTGTTGCAGCCACTGTGTCCGTTTTGTTGAGGGTCTTTCTCTTTTTCATTGACCTCTGCTTTACCAAGCATGATGTCCTTTTCTAGGGACTGGTGCCCAAAGTATAACGTGTCTAATAATGTGTCCAGAGTATGGGAGGTGAACTCTCATGTCACCTAAATATGTCATTGACTAGGAAAAATAGAGTTCTGCACTAGTATTTATATGTTTAAATGAATTTCATCTAAAAATACGTAAAAGGGTGTGTCACTATACAGATGTAGTGCTCTGAGGGTACAGGCACTGCTCAGGCACACAGGCTGACCAAGAGAGCTTGAGAGTCAGCTTGTGTGGTGACAGCAAATGTAGCTGGTCAGATGTGACAGTGCTATAGATCATTTTTAGGTGTGTATTGTCTGACATTTATGATGGAAATCATGAGCCATGGTTAAGATATTAAGTATTTTCTGTGTGAATCAGAATTTTACTGATTCTGTGCAATCAAATAAAAAAATAATTGCATGCTGAGGTTGAAGTTTGCCACTGCCACCTCTAACCCCAGGTCTCTGATGTGTGTTAAAACACACAGTATCATTTTAGTAGATGTTATAAATGTGAATTTATAAAATAAAGGCATGCTAATGGAATGGCTTCTTTTATCTGTTCTACTTCTATCAAGGTCTTAAGAAAGATCATCAGAACAAACGGTCCCAAAAGTGTAAATCTGAAAACCTTGGTTCCCTTGGATTCTTTCCTCTTGGTACACATGGGGTAGGAAGTGCTTTTCTAAGTGAGGTTGCTGGAGGTACCAGCTAGTGAAACAGTAGAATGAAACCAGACTACACAAATTGTGTCTTTCAGTCAGTTCCTACTCAAGGAGTCTATAGGACAGAGTAGAAGTGTCCCATGGGGTTTCCTAGGCTGAAATCTAAGGGATGAGATCACCAGGTCTTTTCTGTTGCAGAGCAGCTGGTGCATTCAAACTCTGACCTTTTGATTAGGAACCAAGTGCTCAACCTTTGTGGTACCAGGACTCCTCGTACACCAAGTAGTGCAACTTACATGATCCAGATGCAACAGTTTTGACTTTGGAGGAAGAAGGAAGGAAATGAACATTGCATGCTTGTGCTAGAAAAACTAGACTCTTTTTCCATGTACTTTGTCATTTAATCCTCTTAAAAATCCCACATTCTGATTTTAAAAAAAAAGGGGGAAAGAGGGGGGGCTAGGTTCGCTAGTCTGATAGAGCCTGATACAACCACTGAGACTGTGGCCCCTACTTGCCCTTTAGGTGTGGAATTGAACCCGCTCCTCTGGCTCCCAGCCAAACAAAAGACAGGCATATGAGCTGAACGTTTACAATAGGCAGATACACTCCTTGGAGATATCAGTCATGGGAGAATAGAAGGGCTATGTATGCACAGGGAGACAGCTCAGGAGACGAGTGCATGGAGGGAAGGACACAGGGAAGAGGTGACTATGGGTGGGGAGTGGGAAGGGAGCTGTTGAAATATGGGAAATGGTAGTCAACGTCATGAGACATGACCTCGTGTCATAAACCACTCCAAAGGATTTTCTTGGCTATAATCTTCACAGAAAGAGTGCTGATGCCACAGTGGTTCAGCACTTACCTGCTAACCAAAACATTGGCAGTTGGAACCCACCAGCCACTCTGCAGGAGAAAAGACCTGGTGACCTGCTCCCATAAAGATTACAGCCTAGGAAACCCCACGGGGCAGTTCTGCTCTGCCCTGTAGGGTCACTATGAGTCAGAATCAACTAGGCGGCACACGCAATTTTCACAGAAGCTGATTGTAGACGTTTCTTTTGTGGTGCCACTGGGTGGATTTGAACTGCCAATCTTTGTTTAGGTTAGTAGCTGAGCACTTAACCATTTGTGTCATCTGTGGACCATAGACACTGTTAGTGGGGTATATGAGAATTCTAAGACCTAGAGGCAGCTGGGGAGGAGAGACGGGTTAATGATTTAGTCCCTGAGAAAATGAATGAAAGTCACAGGATGAAAAAAATGAAAATTGCTGAAAGGACAAAATCTGTTTTTAATAAATATATCCAGAAGGGCCAAATTTGGGGTGCACACCTTTGGTTTGGGATTCAGAGCCGTGGTACAATGTTTCTGTTATGAGTCAAGGCCATGGCTTCATGATAAGTTCTCATAGGAACTCCCACAATGGAAAGCTAGTGACGTGGACTCTGAATGCAATGAAAAGATGTCATTCTGATCTTGTTTATGTGCATATAGTCGTTTTGAGCGCAGAGCACTTGCACACTGGCCATTTCATTTGTAGTGGGCAGAGATGTTAGCCCCATTTCCACTCTGGGTGCATGTGTAGGTGTCTGTGTACGTGTTCATAGAGACTGCACCTTTCCTAGATGCCAGCCACTGAGCTAGGAAGTTTGAACTGTATAATGAAGTTTAAATTTTTATCTCTGCCCTGGAGGTGTTTTCAAAGGCAGTAATAACCAAACCAAACTCACTGCCATAGAGTCAATTCCGAGTCATAGTGAGCCTTTAGGACAGAGGGGAACTGCCATGTAAACTAGGCCCATGCATTAAATAATTAGGGTTTCCAAGGCTGTAAATTTTTATGGAAGCAGACCATTTCATCTTTCTCCCCTGGAGTGGCTCTTGGGTTCAAACTTCCAAGCTTCCGACTCGCAGCTGAGTACTTTAACCAGTGTACCACCAGTGCCTCTTTAAGTCTTTTCAAAGTAATAGCTGGCATTGAACGCTTGCCATGGACCAGGCATTGAGCAGAGTTGAACTCATTTGAGCCTCTGTTTGGTTTGTCCATTCCTTAGAAACTGAGGCACAGAGGAGTTAAGCAACTTGTCCAGAGTTTCACACTAACAGGTGGCAGGCCAGGATTTATACTCAGACAACTATTTCTAGAGTCCTTGCTCTGAATCTCTATTGTATGCTGCCTTGTTTAATCCTCACAGAAACCTGTGAGAAACGTGCTACTAGTTCCCCTATTCTCCCCATAAGAAACTTGAGGCTGAGGAAGATTCTGGGAGAGCTTTTATTACAGCATCCTGATGTGTGTCTGGTAAACTCTCTGTGATTGTAAAAGTGCTGGTTACATTTATGAACCCATGTGAAGAAATAACACAAAAGTATTACTTCTTTAAATAGCTATGTTTCAAAACCATGAAAAAGAAGACCCCTTCAAGGTGGAACCACTGAGACT